TAATAGGACCTTAGTAAAGGTTAGGTGTGTCTCAGGGATTTTGGGCATAGGTTGGGGGGTACTTATGCATTTCCCCTTTTTAAAATATTCTTTTATCTTTCTTTTTTTGAAATAAAAGAAAACATAGTGTTGAATGCAAATGTTTTTGAAGATTATTATTTATCACATTTAAATATAAATGTTTCATGTTCTATAATTTTAATATTTAAATATAAAAATATAAGATGAAATTAATGATATTAATAAATATCAAATTTGTATGGAATATAGTGAGTTCTTACCAAATTTGGAGAGTAGTTTTCTAAAATTAGTTGACTTAACTATGGTTATGATATTAGTTAATATAATATAATCTTAACCTTTAAACTTTAAATAAGACAGATGTTTCTCATCTAAACATGCACTTGACAAAATGGAGGAAATGGGTAATGGAGGGGAACCGGATCCCCAAGATCTACCCATTAAATCACCCACCTATGACCCAACCAACACTTCACTATTTGGAACGGTGTCATTTTATCTGCAGATGCGGAGAGCAGGATTCCGACAAATATGGTGAAGGAGATCAAGGCCAGGGAAAGGGAGTAAATGGCAGGAGAACCATATTTGATCAGTTCATCGAAAACCAAATGATTGAAGAGTGTAAGCGGCTATTGATTATCAGTTCATCGAAAATCGAACGATTAAAGGGTGTTTAGAAAGGTAACGACGTCAGGCTTGGATCATCATGATTTTAGGCAGAGGAAGAAATTGAAAATCTTGTTGATCAACAAAATATATTTCTCTACTATAACTATTGTTAGTGCCGGAGTTACACCGGAAATATTTTAAGCTAATGGGTTCTCACGTTTAGAATAATTGGGTTTTTAGTTGGGTCTGGATTGGATGGATCTAGGGATGACAATGGGGCGGGGCAGATGTGGGGTGGGTTTAAGGATATGTGGAGCGGGGCAGATGCGGGGTGAGTTGAAGTGGGTTTTTAAAAAATTAATGTGGGCGGGCGGGTTGCAGGTACATGTGATTTTATGTGAGTTCAAACTTAATTTTAACTTTTACATGTTATAAAAGTAATAGAACATTATTTATGAAGATAATTTCATTAAAGCTACTAAAATATTCAAGATAATAAATGAAATGGTTCAATAAAAAATAATACAATTTTTTACATGTTTCCCCAATTGACCTCTAAAAAATAAAACTTTAAATCACTATCCTATTAAATTAATATAACTTAATGAAAAATGAATTTATTTTTTGAATTTTATTTTTAGTATCAAACATAACTAGAAAAAGAAAATATTAAAAAAATTATGTTGAGCGGGTTCATGCGGGCCGGGTCTGTGCGAGGTAGGGTGGGGCGCGTTAACAATGAAAAAAGTTGTTATGCGGGGCGGGGCGGATTAAAATTTTTACGGATTAAGTTCAACCCGCATCACCCTTGCCCTACACCGCCCCATTGCCATCCCTAGATGGATCCGGGTTGAGTTAAATTAATTTTAGTTAATCATATCACATATTAAATAAGAAAATTAATTAATTCAATTAATGGGCTCTTTGTGAATAAAAGTTAATTTAAAGTATATTTTTGTGGACAATAGGTTAACAAATGGTATTTTTATACCAATTTCAATAGTTATATTTTAGACCTTTTTTTGTTTTACCAAATCAAATATTTTCTTCAAATTTTTTGATCAAACACATAGAAAAACTTTAGCACGACTTCATCCAAAAATAATTTACCAAAATAATTTAAAAAATGTATGGTCTTAGTCTTTACCAAATCACACATTAGATTTTGTCTAATGTCTGAAATATTTGATTGAACTTTACCTACAAATTAAATGTGGCGCTCATATTTGTGCAACTCAGTAGCAGAATGGTTCCTTTTACCTTATGAATATTCAAAGCTACACTGAACGGGATTCTTGTTGTTGTAGTTGTATGTACCCTTTTGTACAAAGAGTTTACAAATACCACACACATTCACTTTCATTCTATTCTCGTCTCATACCCCACTGCCTCTCATTCAGTTCTTTGCAAATACTTCATGGGAAATTAATAAAACTTGGTTTCAACAAGAATACTTTTCTGGGTAATTGTTATCTTGATTTGTATAGCAAGTTTGGTACAAAAATTGATGCTTTTAAAGTCTTTGATGAAATACCATACAAGAATGCTGTGTCCTGGAATATATGGTTGAAGGTGCTAGTTCAGTCAGGTGATGTGCATTGTGCACGCCAATTGTTTGATGAAATGCCTGAGAGAGATGTTGTGAGTTGGAATTCGATGATTTCGGGGTATGCTTTGTATGGGTTGTTTGAGAATGCTTTGGGTGTTTTCTTGGAAATGCAAAAGTATGGTATTAGGCCTAGTGGATATACTTACTCGATATTGGTTTCACATGTAGAGTTTGCTTTCCATGGCAAGGAGATACATGGAAATATGCTAAGGAATGGTGTGGATTTGTCTAATGTGGTGGTTGGGAATTCACTGATTGATATGTATGGAAAGCTTGGGATAGTAGACTATGCTACTGGTGTATTTTTAGCCATGGAGACAGTGGATGTTATTTCATGGAACTCATTGATTTCGAGCTGTTGTAAATCAGGGTATGAAGATACAGCTCTGTCTTATTTCTCTTTGATGAGAGCTTGCAAATATTCACCGGATGAGTTCACAATGTCTTCAGTGCTTATTGGCTGTTCAAACTTGCGCAGTTTGGAGAAGGGCAAGCAAATCTTATGTCTTTGCGTAAAGATGGGATTTTTGTGCAACGCTATTGTTTCAAGTGCAGCAATTGACTTGTTTTCTAACTGCAACAGAATTGAGTATTCAGCTCGTATATTTAAGGATTCAAATATTTGGGATACAGCTCTGTGCAATTCAATGATTTCGAGCTATGCACTGAACAGTTTAGAAGAAAATGCCTTGCAGCTATTTGTCCTAACTTTGAGGAAAAATATTAGACCTACTGAGTTTACACTCAGCTGCATTCTTAGCTGTACTACAACTTTCCCTGTGGATCTGGGGATTCAAGCTCATTCTTTGGTCATCAAGTTAGGCTTTGTATCAGATCCTGTTGTTTCCACTTCACTTGTAGATATGTACTGTAAATATGGATTGATTGATTCCGCCACAAATATTTTCAATGACCTACTAACAAGAGATTTGATATCGTGGAACACCATGATCTTTGGGCTGGCTATCAATGGTGAATCTACCAAATCACTCAGCCTTTATTATGAACTACTTGAACTTGGTGGTCAACCAGATCGAATAACATTGACTGCACTTCTGTTAGCTTGCAGCTATGGTGGATTTGTCGATGAAGGTATATCCATATTTTCTTCAATGGAAGAGGAATATGGAATTACACCTGGCATTGAGCACTACACTTGTGTTGTGGGCATGATGACCAGGGCTGGTAAACTTAAAGAAGCCGGAGATATATTACAAAATATGCCTCACGAGCCCAACAGTGAAATGTGGGAATCAATACTTCTTGCTTGTGATATTTATGGGGACTTGAAAGCAACTGAAAAGGTTGCAGGGAAGATAATGGAGTTAGCACCAGAATCATCTCTGCCGTATTTGGTGCTAGCGCAAGTATACGAGTCCAGGGGAAGATGGGAGAGCCTTGTTCGGGTCAGGAAGGAGATGAAAGAGAGAATAGAAAACAAAGTAGCTAGTTACAGTTGGATTAGTGTACGCAGCAGTGTAATCATGTACCAAGCAAACCAAATTCTTAGTTGTGGCAGTAAGGACATAGGCATTTATTCAACGTTGAGGCTATTGACAGAGGATACATGGGATAAAGGTTTATGCTAATCAGTTGCAACTGGGAGTAATAGCTGCTAAACAGATGAGTATAGTGCACAGATAGAAAATCAAAATTTAAAATTGATTCTTATACAATGGGCAAAGCCAACTTTGTTTTTGCTATTGATGTGGATTTGCTATAAGTGACTTTCAAGGTCTGAATCTGATTCATTGCATCAAAAGGGGTAAAAGCTTTTCCAAAGTTCAAAATTTCCACATGCATATGATGGAGAACCAGTAAGGGTAAAAGGATACTCGCCTTGTTTCAGGATGCAGAATTGGAGCAATTCCATATAACTCAGAATGTTGCATCTAACAAAAACCTATATTTTGTATTTTGGCCTTTAGAGAGGCATTAACTTCATCAATATGAGATAATTCTTTCAGCTTTAGTAGTTTTATACACCTTAATCAAGCCACAAACATCTCTAGGGAACAATGATTGTCCAGTAATAGATATCACTCATATAACCTCTCCATGTCTTGGATGCCTCATCATAGAGTTTGAGGCTGAGAGATGCTGAGTTTGATGGGAAGATTAAAAGGTAATGTAGAATCTTATCTCTCTGTAATCTGTGAAGCTAACATGTCTACAAATACTTGAATGTTTGCTTTATATGTTAGTTTGCCTTCTTTCTCATTGTTGCTTTTGTGATAATCATTCTTGATAGATCAGAACTTTTGTGGGATTTCACTGGGTATGTTGTTGTTGTTGATAGATCACAACTTTTCATTAAAACCACACGAAGTTGATTTTAAGAACATGTACAATGAGAATGAGTGGATCAATCACACTTAGCTAACAAGTTATCCCAATCATCTATGCAAGTAGGATCTTCGATTTACACCAAAAGACTAAATGAAACAAAAATTAAGTTACTTTTATTTCTTTCAGTATGATGGATCAATTCTCTTTCCTTCTACACTATCCAAAAAACATATAGAGCTGTGTAGTTCTCCATATAGCCCTTCATTCTTTTTCAATTCCGCACAGCTTCCAACTCGTAATTGCCTCCTCAACTATACTTGGTAAAGCCCTTCCAACATTGAACGATGAACATGTGAGGTTCCATAGTTGTTTAGTGAATTTGCAATGCAACAAAATATAGTCAGTGCTCTTCCCACTTTCTTTGCACAAACAACACCAACTCACTACAATTCTCCTTCTATTCATAAGATTATCAGATTGTCAATATTGCTCCTTTACAGCACCACATATGTGAAAAAAATAATACTTTCCATGTTGCTTTACCACCCCAAACATTCTTCACACCACATTTTTACCCTCATAAGATTTTGTATATTTCACCTTCTACATCATCGAATCCTCCTTTCATCTTTTCCTTCTCAATGCTGATCGGAATATCTCTTCGGAGAACACTATCCAATCTGACTCCCTGATTATCCTGTCTCAAGTGTTCTCCACTATAGCACCCATATCATTTCTCAATTAGTAAGCCCATGCGAAAGTCTCCTTTATAATAGTGTTTTTTTGCCACACTTCTTTCATTGAATCGTGCAGCACTCTTACAGCATTACCCACTGCGTACCCAGTATGTGTAACATTCCATTCATAGTCCCCGTCGATACACTCACCCCATACATGGTTATCTTTTCACCCGAGAACCATGAATTATCTGTGAATTTGTTTTTTCGTAATATTTTCCTCTTGGGCGGATCTCCACAGCCACTTCCCGTTAATGTCACTAAAACAGGGATTCTTCGTATCCTTCATTCCTTCTGTCATTTGAAGTTTCATCTTCTAATAATCTAACAATTTTTGCTTCTATTCCCCTTCCTTTCCTTTCCTTCCCACGTGTGATCTCTCGTCATCTTTTCAGTCGCTGTTAGCAACATGCAAAACAAAAACATGTAGTATGTGGGATACTCCGTCTATCTTAATTTATATGTCATGCTTTCTTTTTTAGTATATCCTGAAAAGAATGTCATACTTCCATATTTAGAAGGGTTAATATCTTAAAAGGTCATTTAACTTTCACAATTTATCTAACAACTTTATTTTATATCAATAAAATCACTCAACTTAGACACAAGTATCAATAAAATCACTTAACTAGATTTGTCATTAAAACAAATCTGGCCTAGCAAAATGACAACTGCTACTACTACTGCCTTCTCCTTGTTGTTCTATTTCTTATTGATTCATCATCATATAGCATTTTCATTGGCTTATAACAAGAATGGTGTTAATGGTTCAATACATGATGATTATAACATGATAATATAGATAATAGGAGCAGTTATTCATCCAACAACAAGAGTGGGCAAAGAGCAAAATATAGCTACGGAAATGGCAGCATGATGACTTCTATATTAAATTAGAACTCAATCAATGAAATTTATTATGACAAACCGACTCCTCCAAAATTAATCACGGGAGATTTAGTCAGCAAAGATTATCACAATTAACATATGAAAGCATAATCAATTTAGATGGTCATTTAAATAAAAAAAATAAGAGAGCTTCAACGAACCATAAAATTAGAACATGCGAAGATTAAGTTAGTGATTGAACCTTAATGAGTTTTAACAGAAACGTTTTAGTTCCAATCACTTGAAACGAGAGCAGAGCTAAGATCAGAGACCTCAAATAGATGACGTCAGAGCTCTGTTTTGGCCATTATAACTTGAGCAAGAGCACAACATTTTCATTGACTTCTTAATGAGTTTTCTTTAATTTTATTTATTTTTGAGCTTCATATTACATGGCATAAAAAAATTATTTTGTCTACTTCTTTCATGTCATTGCTGCATACTTCTCTTTAGAAATTTCTTGAAGAGACATATTTTTATTGATAAATTTAGTTGAATGATTTTATTGATATAAATGCCTAAGTTGAGTGATTTTATTGATACAAAATAAAGTTTAATAACTTTATTAGATAAATTGTGAAAGTTGTGTGACCTTTTAAAATATTAACTCTTATTTAGAAACAATTTAACTTGAAACTTCCTACCTTACCCTTGATGAGATTATTTATAGCCGCACAAATATCAATGGTTTGTTTTAGAACACAAGTTCCAAAAGTCTTCCTTTTTGTCTTAAACTCCGTACCGAGTCAAACACCTCCACATAAATTGGGATGGAGGGAGTATGAGATTACGTGATTTACCCACCCTTAGATAACTACCTTCTTTTCCATTGTGCTTAAGTTTTTTCTCAAATTTCTCTGCTACCAATTCCTCTAGTCCCTTGTCCTTAAATTTCCCCCTAGTGGCAAACCCAAAATCTTAGTGATGGTGCTGTCACCTTACTTCTATATATACTTTCCAATTTAGAAATATTCAGCACCTCGCCACTAGTACCAACTCGAACTTCCATAAATTGATGTGAAGTCCTGTAACTGTTTCAAACCAAATAAATATCCTGAAGAAATATCGACTGTCCACCTGTGGCTTATCAAAAGATAATTACATAAAACAGAGCTTCTAAAAAATGAATGTATCATCAACAAACAAATAAAAGATGTGATATAGCCATTCTTCCTCTTATTATCTTTTTTTAAAATTCTTTGTCTAAACTCTAAAGTATTCATCCTCTTACTATCATCAGCATAGAGTAGATGTCAGGTATCATTGGTGACCAGTAGATGTGGTATTGCCATTCTTCTTCCTATTTCCTTCACTGCTTCAATCCCTCAATATAGCCTCTGCCACCGTTCTGTTTATGAGCCTTCTAAAGGCCTCCATCTCAAACAAGGATGACTATTGGGACAAACATGTCTCCTTATGTTATATTCCCGTTCAGCTACTCAAATATCTGCAAGCACTACCATCCAAAATAACATAAAAGTTTTCCATTGAATATGGTAAATGAAGACAGCATCAATTTAGTTGAACTTCAGCTGATTCATGTTGTATAAAACTGAGGACAAGGGCATAAATCAAGGACTGGAACTGTATAAAACCTTGGTCTTTGGTTGATGTCACTGCATATAGTGTAAGAAAGAAACTCAGAGATAACAGAATGCATCAATTGACAGGGAACTAAATATGAGACCTTTAACGACCTCCAAAAAGAAATAAGCATCTATGTGTTCAATGAAAAGAAGGATTTTTATGACTGGAAGGTGACTAGAAGATAAAACAGGGAAACTAGCAATGACTGAATTAGTTTTAAATGAAAAAGTGTTAAATGTAGAGATTCTCCTATTGACCAGAAAAGATTCTTGACAAATGGTTTTTCAAACTTTGGGTGTTTTTTTCCTTGTAAAAGTTATTTATTTCTGGTAGTTCTTGCTGCATTCCTGTGTGTTGTAGGCATACCTTCTTCAACTTTGTGATACTGAGACAATGAGAATGCTGTCCTTTCGGTCCAGTTATTGACTGTTTGTTCTGGCTTTTGTGTCGACAGTTTGTGTCTTGTAGGCATAGTACACTAGCGAAGTGCTTAATTTTTTCAGCACATCATACTACACTAGCAAATGCCTTACACAGCTTTTCCTGCTTTAGTTATGTTCTTTCTGAATGTGAAATTTTCTCTGTGATTGATTGACATCGTTTTGCATGATGAAATCGATAATGCTAGAAAAAATATTTTTAACCTAGTGAAAAACAGTCTTGTAATGTGCCTTTTATCAAGTTTTAATTTTCATCAGTAATTATTATTCTGAAATAATTGAAGCTGAGCACGATGAACCTATTTATGGCGTGTTTTCTTATGTGATCAACTCTTCTCTTCTTAGTACTTAGAAGCCTATAAAAGTCTTCATTCTTGATGAACTTCGAATTTATACTTCATTTTCTCAGGTACAGAAAATTCCCCGTTCTCCATCTAACAGCCAAAAGGATCTGGATGAATCCTGAGAGCTGGTTATCAGAAAAGAGGTGAGCCTTTGTCAAAACTTCATTGTGCAATATTTTTCAGTTTATGTTGTCTTATCTTTTTAATGAACGAGAATTATTTAGATAAGTCGAAGAAAAGATAATATAGGAGTATATAATTTGAGTTTTGAGATCAATAATGGGAAATATTTGTTTGTTCAAGATTAAATTATACTTGTGTTGCACAAATTTGAGAAGAACAAAGGTTCATGTGTAATTTTTGAAACTAAATGGTAGTGTAATTCCCTCTCAAAAGGCCACAAAAGAAATGAACTCTAGGCAAGAAATGTTAGGTTGTTTAAAATTTAATAGATCCACAAAAGGCCAAACACATACACAATCTCGCCCCTAAATTTCATTTAACGGTTCAACTCAATCTTGTTTCATTTTAATCCTCCAATTACATTTTTCATATACCACTTAAACACGAAATATTGATTGACCTGACCGGTGAGACTACCCCACTTTTTAAAGCGAGGGGCACATTAATTTCATAGTTTCATTTTTGTATTATTATTTTTTAATTTACCCCTCCTGTTGGAGCTCC